CCCCCCCCCCCCCCGAGGATCTTCCTATCCGACACGCACAGCGCTGACGCAACTGCGCCCGGCCCCTCTCGTGCTTCGACGAAACTATTGATACGTGCTCATTGTCTCTCACTGCCTGGAACGGTGACTCGGAACAGATTGACAGTGTTGGTCCTCTGCTGGTACATCTTCGGCACGGCTCTCCGAGACATCGAGGCCGGGATACCGATTCCGAGGAAGGGGTATCCTGTCGGGAGTGTTCCGAGTGTCATATCGGAGGTCTTCCACGCGAGGGTGAGGGTTGGTAGTGCTCGTGGTCGTGCAGCCAGCGAGAGTTGTCGAGCGTCTCCACCGTTCGCGGGCACGCGCAGAACGAACGGTATTTTGACGTATAACAGGGAGAGTTGGTTTGGGTGGTGCACACTCGATTGGTGGAGCGGTTGGCCTCAAGTTTTGCGCCAGGGGGGCAAAGCAGTAGCTCCACGTTCGTCCGTGCTGTTTGATATTGTACCATGGATGTTGTTCTTTTTGTCGTCGCTATAACGTCGAAATCATTCTGATCTTCCTCTCAATCCGAACCCTCAGGCAAAGATTCGATAATATTTCGCGTTCGCCAGCTACCCCCCTGAACACAATTACAAACCAAATATAGGCCGAGCGAAGACCCTTTTGGACGCTTGGTACTTGCCGTAAAAGAGCACGGTCTTGCATTATCGATCCATGAGCGGTAACGTGTTATGTGATAGTCGCAAGCCTCTGACATTTATGTACCCCTTTGCGACCCTCCTCTCTCCTCTCTCAGCGACGGGCGATGGCGAGGGGCGGGGTGGTCAACCACAGGGAAAGAGGCATCGGAGAGCCGGCGGGCTTGGTGTTCCAAGAAACGCGGAATGACGAGGGAAAATCGTTGCCCGCTGCGGCCCTCTTCGCTGCTGCTGGGCCGCCTGTTGTCGTGCTGGACAGGGCAGAGCACCTCCAGGTAGACAGAGAGGGGTTGTACCACCGTAGGTTCGGGTTTGGTGTCGAGTAGCGGGGAGGGGAGGGCGGCAGCGGTAGCGGCAGAGACAGAGAGCGTCGTATTGAACAGGAGGCGTTCGAAAAGGTAGACTGATGACAGCACGACCGATCGCTCGCAGGCAAAGATGTGGTTGCGGTCGTTGTTTTGCGACTCAAGCGGGCGTGGGGAAGAGAGTGAGAGAAGGCAGAGCATGATCATAAACAATGGCGGCGTACAAGGGGTACGTATGTCTGAGGTTCAACGATTATGCTCGAGCCGCGGCCGTACTTTGGATTCCCCTCAAGTGCGCCTTTCGCGGCTATGTGCTTCTGCCGTGCTTCCTCCGCAGAACGTGATCCGTCGTTGCATGGATGCAGACGGATGTGACTCCGAGGGCATCACCCGCGAAATCCGGTCACAAGTGTCAGCGCTGGTCCTCGAAGGCTCGAAGTCGGCAGCGAAGCCAGAATCGGCATCACGCGAAGGCGATGCAAGGGGTGACTGCGATGCATCATCATCCCCTTCACCACTAATTGTTGGACACGTCGACGACGAAATGGACAACCCTTCTAGGCCCACCGGCAGAGACGACACGGAAACGCCAGGAGAGCTAATCTGTGCCCGAGGTTACGATGGGGGCCCCGGCACGGAGTGGGACGAGGAGGGGGGGGAAGCGTCCTTAAGCCTGGCGACTGCTGCTAGCGCCGGGTCAAGGGTGGTGAAGGGTGAAGAGCACGTGCTTATGGAGGCAGTATTTTGTGATGACGGAGGGAAGGGTCAGGTGTTAGAGGGGCGGGTTGATGGTGGTTGGTGCGACGCTTGGTCACCCGGCCATGGAGGACGGGGAGGAGACGCGGAGCTGTGGACAACAGTGTTGGTTGCTTCGGGTTGGCGATGGGACGAAGTCGAGACTTTGCTTGAGGTATGGAGCCATGCCGCCGCAAGTTTTGAAGTATTTGTGCTACCGCTACGCTGTCTTTGTAGACCTGAATGCGCCCTCCGCAACCTTTGAGGCTTCAAACCACTTTCAGCCGAGGGTAGCCCCACTGGGGAGCAAATAATTCGCCATCTTCATAAACCACTCTCACACGTTGCACTGCTGTAGCCTGTGAGTAATTATTTCATGCACGGGATAGACGACCGCGTTACGATTCTCGCCTCGCTTTCGTTTCCGCCAGTTCGTGCACGTTCTGTCAAAAGCGGGTCGCCCGTATTTTCCGCCACTTCCGTCGTCTGGTGGAACCCGTGTTGCCGGTCCAACGAACAGCGTTGCTCGAACCGCACACCGATTGTTCGAGCTGTCAGCGGTATTTTATCTTCCGACACCCTCCTTCAACGCGCCCGCGTCCATTGCTTCGCCCCACCACCCACTAAGAGCAGGTGTTTCCCGGGACCCCTTGGCTGTATCTTTACCACGAGAGCGACGATGGCACTTCCAAGCCCTGCTTGCAGGTGACGACATAGATAGAATTTCCTAGATGCTGCTACTGTACACGCTGAGGTGGCGAGACGATAGTGCTATAATACCCTGGCAAGGTCTCATTTCCGTATCCGCATCTAAATTCCGTATCGGCACACCGGAGTTTCAATGGAAAAGTGTTTCGTCTTTCCCACTATGTTCTGCCATCGGGTCCACCTCTCTCTCTTTTCCTACCCCCCGTACCCGTCCTCATTCTTCTCTGTCTATATCTTCCCCACTCTCGCTGTCTTCTGCCCTCACCCATCTCGTTCCCGCTGGCAATGCGTACCGTACTTCTCTAGAGCTCTAGATATGCCGGAATGAGGTCGATGCATGACTCGAAACACAACAGTCGTGGTCACCGGGTGGCTATGGCGTCGTCTCGCCTAACGGCAGGGGCAGCCGCCAGGGTGTTGACGAGGCTTTTCGGCGCGAAGTTGCACCCCGGCGGAGAGCTTGCAATGTCACAGGTGCGCTTGCTGCGCTACACAACTATTTCGGCGACAGAGCCACCACTACTGCTGCTGCCATTTACTTTCTACTAGCACCGTCCACGAGCGTCTCTGTCTGGGAGCCTGCTGTTTTGCGCGGGGAGTTGTTAGACTGGGCATCGCTTGAGCCTGCCTGCCTCTTTTGCCTCCGTGTTTATTCTCTATGTCATTCGCTTTGCTGTGAAGAGCACTTGGAGCGCCCTTGTTTGGACATTGTGCGGGAACTCCCGAGCAAACATGACGTCACTCATTTATCTTCGTCGATCGCCTTCCCTGCGACAACTGCTCCGTAAATGGTGACCATGCATTCCCAGCTCCACGCTAGACACGCGGCCACCGACGACGAGGACCTCTCCGCAAACGGAGCACCGCATTCAGCGGCTCCGGCAGCGACTGCCTCGGCAGCGGCAGGTTTTCCCTCCCTCGGCGAGGTGTTTCCTTCTGATGGAAGCGTTTCTCAAGCAGATGCGTGTCGGGACCCTTTTGAGGAGGGCACCAAGGTGCAAATGACAGCAGTAGCTCAAGTTGGTCTGTTTTGCTAACGTGTCAAGATTCGGTGAACAGGTCTTGTTTTTTGTCCAACACACCGGTTGGACCACTCGACGCTGGTCCCCCGTTACATAGACGTCTGTGTTGCGTTCGACTCCTACCGCCGACTAATGTTTTCGTCTCTAGGTTTGGCGAGTTGCCCTTCCCCAGTCCAAGGACGTACGAGGAATCCGCTGCCAACGATGAAGAGATATCCTGCTGCTGTGGTCGTGCTCCGAGGTTATGATTCAGTGGCAACGAACCCCTCCCTACCCCTACCTATCCCTACTCCCCACGTTGCGGTGAAACTGGTTGCGTTTTGGTTATCTTTTTATCACGATGATCTTCTAGGTGCTTGGTGGTCCTTTCGACACTGTGTGGTGGTGGGGGTCCGGAGACAATCTGACAAGCGACAGGATCCTAGAAAGACATCGTCAAGGGGGAGCAGAGGGGGGCAGCCCCTGCGGCAGCAGCTCGCGAGAGACCGTTGGTATCGCTTCTTCTGTCGAAGATGGTGCCGGGCGAGTCCCTCAGCGACGGAAAAGCCATGCAGGGACCGGCAAAGCCGGCGGCCTCGGGAAAAAGAGCGGAAACAGCGAATCACAAAAAGGGACGGGCGAAAAAGGGCAATTTCATAACTCATCATCACCATCAGTGGCACCAGCAGCAACCTTCGAGGCAACCAGGGAGGGGGAAGATCGGCGTGATGACGTAAAGGCGTCGCTGCTCCCGGTTGAGGAGGAGGGTCTAGCGGTGGGAGAAGATCCCCAACGGCGGTGGGACAGGGGCCTCAGGCGCATGGTTGACAGCGATTCTCCCTCGGTAAGCACTCGAAACATGTTGTGACACAAGCATTTAGCATGCTAGTTACCGTGGTAGGTTGAAGGGCCCAGGTGTAGACTCAAGAATTTTCTCTGGGGGTCGGCAGAGTGGGGACACGGGGAGAAGTGGCGGTAGTACACCCACCTCGGTCTGAACGCGTCAACAAGGGTTTGATGACGGTGCGCTGGGGATGCTGGGCGGGGCACATGCCCCCCCCCCCCCCTTACGTCGGCCCCCGTGTTCGCCAACGATATGAATTTTCTGTGTGGTGAGCGTTTGGCCGTGGGAAGGTAAACAGGCGGCTAATTGTGGTTGTGCGCTTGCAAGCCGCTACTAAGCTGTGGGTGTTTCGTACGATGCGGGTTGGTGAAGCCATTACCAAGCTCAATGAGGACAACCTTATCACGACGCTTTATTATAGTCCACCAGACGTTACATCAGTACATACATCCGCATAGCCGTCGCTGGCGTTTACCAAAACCAAAACGCCAGAATGGACTTGGGTCGATAGGCCAATAGAGGCTCTCTCTCCGCCGGCCGTAGTCGGCAACAAATGCACAGCAAGCGTGCCGGCCTCTCCGACGGTGGTTGGGAAGCACCTCGCCCTCCCGCCGCCCACTCAACGGCGATTGGCTCGCGCTTGGGGTGTATCCTGCATGATCCGCCCTAGTTTCAGAACGGTACGGACATAGGGGTGTGCATGCGAAGGGCCTCAGCACCTCAGCACTACCGCGGTGGCCTTACCATTCTGCGTATCTCCCAGCCCTTCCCCTTCGCGCTCGTTTCGGCACGCGCCAGTGGATGTCGTCCGAGGTGTACAGCGAGCCGATCGAAAGGTTCTCTTGCCCGGAAGAACCCGAAGCCGGCTACCCGACGGAGTGGCCGCTGCTCGACCTGCTCGCCAACTGGAACCCCGGGAACGCGTCCGGAGTTCCAGAGAGGCATTTTCTCGGGGTTTGCAGGTACGCAGGTGGGGGAATATAGAGCTGCTTTTGTGTCATGTAACGCATCGGGTTTTTCGACGAGGAGGGTTAGAGAAGGGTAGAAAGTTGAAAGGTAGAAGGACGCCTCGTCTGTTTGTCCTTCGTGAGGGTGTGTTTTTGGTTTGTGTCTGGGTTGCCCTGTTGCGTTGGTTGTAGTTGAACAATCCGATGCCGGACTAGGCAATGTGGTCGGGAAGATAAGACATAGGAAGAGTTGGTTGACGCCGTCTTTGAAGCCCCCCCTTGTTTGCGGTTGCTGTGTTTTGGTGGTGGTGCGAGCTTCGACGCTCAGCAATCAAGTCATGGAGACGAAGTCTTTGGTTGCGTGCTACGAACCCGGCAGTCGCGCTGTTCACCCTACGCCTATGCGGTAGGAGCTCTTTTTCTTGACATCATGGACAGCGTTTCTGAACAAATCCAGTCGAGATCACACCGCTTCAGCCCTCCTTTATTCTACCGTAACCATATACCTGTTCATCTATCTCTGGACCATGCTGCGCACAGCGTTTGTAGAACAGATCGATCCTTCCACGTCAACAACATATAGGTGGCGACCTCCTATCTTCGGAACTAATGCGGCCAATGCATTCTGTTGTTTGGAGTTGTCGTTGTCGACCCTCGCACCTCGACTCCGTTGTTGCTTTTGTTGGAAACAGGTTCAACTACCAGACAGAGCTACACAAGGCGCGAGCATACAGTCTCCGTGAGGTGAACTGGCTCTGTTGGATCTTTGGTGGTCCATTATAGCAGTGCCTTGGAGGGAAGTGGAGGGCAACTTCAATCTTGTTAGCGACTGTTGTACTTGGACGGATGCCCTGCTGCTGCGGTGGCAACGTCCTCTGGGTGCAGCTTTTGTTGGCCCTAAAACCGGCGTTCACAGTGTTGCCCTTGTACAGCAGTCGTCCATGCCTTCTTTTCGTATCGCACAGCGAGCAGTGTCTTGGCAGCAAAACAAGTCCTGGTAGAGCGAGCTCACAGAGCTATGCCATGTGTTAATGAATGGGCCTTTTTGCGCAGCGCTTCCCGATGATTTTGACCTGTTGTGTCCTCTACGATATTCTGTCTCGACTTCTTCGCCAAGCAGTCATTGTCGTTCAATAGTGTTCTTCAAAACCGATTACCGGACTGGCTTCGAAGAGTATGATCGCTGAAAACACATTTACTAGCGTTGTGTGCACACGGGTATATTTCACTTAGGTGCCGTTTATTGTCTTCAACGTGCCTGAGTTGGACCGGGCCGTTCAAGAGTGGAGCAATCCGGCCAAGCTGACCGCTGCCCTCGGAGACCACTTGTACAGGTAAGTGTGTTCGTATGGAGTGCGTGCGTCGTTGATGCACTACACAAGAATCAATGTCGTCACGTTTTTATCATCAGCGGCTGGCTTTGTCGGAAGCGTTTCCCAGCATCCATTTCGTTTGGAAAAGCGGTGATGGTGGTTTGGACGGCGAAAGGGCAATGCGGCGCAGTTTTCGTTGCCGCTTCTACTAAGATTTGCAGCCGCTGCGGCTTATGTAGTGCTGCAGACTATTTCCAACCGTTGCCGTCATCATTGCCGTCTAGGTCGGACCTTGAACGCGACATTCGGACTTCACCGATTGCATGAGTCTTGTGCATTTACGCCAGAACGCGAATGAGTAAAACACATTAGCGCCCGCAGTATTCAGAACAATGGGTTATTACACAGATCCCAATATCGCGGGAAAAGTACGATCATCAGTTGGATGGTGCGGCTATTTTCACGTTCATGGTTGTATCCCTTGCGGTAAGCTGCTTTCTCGCTCTCGACAAAGTCCAGACGCCATCATCGTCTTGGTCGTCACCACCGCCACTGTTGTGGTTGTTTTCATCGCCACGTTCTAGAATGGATAGTCGGCATATGTTTCCTCTTTCGATCTTCGTTCAAATATGGTGTGTGTCCTTTGCCATGGTTATGTCGCCTTGCCATGGTGTTGTCGGCATCCGTTGCCCCGTTCGACCTTCGTTCTGATATGGTGTGTGCCTTCTGCTTTGGATTTTCCAGCATTGACGTCTCCTCCAGCAATCGATTCCTCTACTACGGAAAACGAAGCTGGGATCGGCCCCTAGGCTGGACACCGCCCACACGAAGGTGAGGAACACTTTGCACTTTGCCGCCGTGCTGTTCGCCTGGGCACCTGTTGCTGCTCCGTTTGCTTGGTGAGCTGTTTCTGTTGAGTCTGAGCTGCTGTGGTCGTGCTGTACTTTATCCCTTTGGCCTAAGGCCTAAGCAGCGCTGGTGGCGTGGCCATCCCGGCCCTCCCGGTGCCTCTGAACCCGTACCTATCGCTCGGACCCCGTGCGATCCAATCCATCACACAAGCGCCACCCGTTGCTACACATGCTTGCTGCTGCTGCTGCTGCTGCTGCTGCTGCTGCTGCTGCTGCTGCTGCTGCTGCTCCTGCCGTCGCTGGAATAGAATCTTGGACACTTTCGACGCTTGGTTGCGGCACGCTCTCGGGATTCGCCGATTAGAAGACCACCAGCCTGTCCGTGACAACGGCCACTTTGTTGAGGCGAGCGACGGGCCCGGCCAAACGACCGACCAATCACGCGCGGATAAGGATAAGGACTTCCTCGCGCCATACGGCGGGGAACAGTGCGACCGTTCTCCGGACCGTTCTCGGGACCGTTCGCAGGACCAAGGAGCGGAATGGTTCCAAGGCGGGAGGGATAACAACGCCAAGAGTGAAGTGGTGCGGGGAGAGGAGACGAGACAAGAATCTCCCTCAAGGAAGGCGCACTACTACCTGAAGTTCTCCTCCACCGTGGAAAGGCCGAACCGGTTCGTGGACCGTTCTTTGCCGTTTTTCGTCCCTCCTGCACAGCCTCTGTGAGTGGCTTGGGAAAATCGGGGAGTTGGAAGTGGACTTGTTTCGATGCTGGTAGTGCTATTGGTTTGATGCGCGTGTGGCCGTGGGAAACCGAATCGATGGGGAAAAGTCGACCCATTGATTGGATAGTTTTATCGAGAACGATTGGGTGCCGTTAGTCGAGGTTCAAGTCTATGCACGGCATCGAGCATCAGTGCTAAATACACTCACAATCGCGTCGAAATTTGAGTGTTTTGGCTCCTGCATACTCCATTTCATCCAAGCGTCGTGATATATTTTTTAAGAGTCTCTCGTCCGCATCGGAAGCCCTAACGTTGCAAAAATTTTTGAACAATCGCTTTTTTCACCACGATAGTGCACGAAGAAGGCGGAGAAATTAAACTTTACCTTAGTCGCAACATGTCGTAGAACAACCCTGAGTTCGTAGGGTTTTCCTTTCGAGCAAGTACCGCCTGCACCCCCTCCCCGTCGTTTCTTCGCCTACATCCCTCTCCCCTCCCATCTAATCCACGTGCCCCCTCCGCTCCCCTCTCACGCAGGGAAACCCACGACGACGAGTTCTCGGAAAGCTTGGCATACGACGACTATGGTTTAAGCCCAGCCGAGGGGGATTACTCTGCCGGAAAAAGGGGTACGGGATTTTCACCCGTGGGCGTTCGAAATCACCTTAGAGGGAGCGGCGCAAGTATTTCTGGTACTTGTTTAGATTAATATCATGTTCTGCCCGTTGCAGGAGGCGGCTGTACAGCTATTGAGTTTACTGGTCGTGTCTGAGAGGTTCGCTCGTGACTAATAGGTCTAGTCTAGCGATAGCCCCCTTCTGAACGGTCTTTCTTCAATCCCTTCCCTGCCGTTGGTGCGCGCTACAAGTATTTGCTCTACTATCCGGCAGGAGGTGGTACGGTGGTGCCTTTTCCGTTCCCTTGAAGGACGGGGCCTGTGCCGCAAGCCCTGTATGCAGTGCCGTCGATTCTCCTACTGCACCTTTTTTTTTTTTCATTGGCAGCCTTACGCGATGGAACAGTTGAAAGGGTAGGACCACGAGCTTGAGCCTGAGGGAGGGAATCACAACGATAACATGACCTCCAGCAGGACAAGAAATCAAGACCCTCCCTTTCCCCGCGACTGCGATGAGCTCAGACCGCTTTCCTGCCTCCCCTCTGCCTTGCTGCTCTCTAAACCTTTAGGACGTCGAAGAAAGTGGTCGAGGGAGAGCAGGTCGGTTTGTGGGTGTGTGGATGGATGGATGGATAGGGGTTAGTCGTCGGTCGAAGGTTGTGTAGTTACCGTATGAAGATGGCTGGATGCGCACCGAAAAGCTTACATCACCATTGTGCGTGCTTCTTTCTGTGCTCCACCGTGATTTTCTGTGTCCATACGCACTCAAACCGGGATCCGATTACGTGGTATTCCGATGTTGACCGCGGGCGGATCACCATGGTACGTTTTCCTACTGGTTCAATGCATGCGGTTGTTGTTTGCTGCGACCGGTAGCTGGTTTCGTCGTACTTGTTTCGGACGATGTGTGAAGCCCGAAATCCCTATGCCTGCGACGGTATTTGGATACAAATACATGCTCCGTGCTAGAGAAAATTCGGTGTCGCTTCTGAGACGCTGATTAAACACCGTTGCCACTGAAATCACCCAGCGCCGTTAGGTTAACGAGTATGGTATCGTGCAGTACGAGCTGTCAAGGCGAGAACGTCTGCTGGAAAATCGCTTCACAACACTCCAGCACACCGTCGGTTGCACAAGTCAACATTCCAAACGCCGTGTTGGTACCTATTGTACCTGCAGGTGGGCCGATCAAAATGCGTGGCCCCCGCACCAGCGTCGACAGTCGGAGGAAGCGTTGGAGGGCGGGGAAGACGAGGAACCAGTCGATGGTGCTACTCGCATGCTCGAGGACGCAGTAGGGAGTGACAAGGATGAAACCGACATTTTCTTGAGGGATGCGTCGGCAACGAAAGGGATTCACTGCCGCCTAGGGATGGATGGGGTACGCACCATGTTGTTCTGAACTGTATTAGTTTTATCGTTTGCTCACCGTCAGGACAGCCAAGGTATTTGCGACATGCGAATACCGGCTAACTTTGAACCACGCGTACATGTGTTTGGTTCTCGCCGTGGTTACTGAGAACAACAGTTCGCCACTGATGACCCGCTACGTATCCCTGCCGGGTGTAATGTGGCTTCGGTCATCTCGCATCAATATTACCTTTCCGGCACCACGGAATAGGACAAATGGTGCAGGCTACAGTGCGGAGCACGCCCTGTAGACTAGTCTCCGGGCATCCCGACCATGCGGAACAGCAGAACTGCAATTATCAAATGGCATGTGCGATCGCTCGTGCCGTAGATGCTGTCTAGCCCCGACATGGCATGGCGGATGGTGTGATCGAGAGGGGTCCTCGGCTGGGAATTTTGCGTGGTGTGGACATGGTCAGTATTCCACACACCCCTCGAGGTGGCTTCCCCGCCAGGTAGTTCAATCAAAACATCTGGGATGTACAACACATTGATGGTATCTCCACCCCCTCTCTTGGGTGATTTCCCAGGGACGACTACTCCAACCCCTCGCTTAAGTTATATCCCAGGGAGGACTACTGCGATCCGAAGACACTGTCACCTCCCTTGTAGGCTCTAGTTTCAGGTGATTACGGCACCCGGGTCTGTCGTGATTATGTCGTCCTCGTCTCGCTTCGGCTGCGCTTCGCCGCTGCTTTTATTTCTTGCCAAAGGTCATGTCGGAGGGCCACTACGACGGGTCGCGGAACATGGTGGCACTCCTGGCCGGAAAACGTCGTTGGATTCTGTCCAACCCTCAGAACTGCGGGCACATGCACATGTTCCGAAAGGGCCACCCCTCCGGTGAGAAGTCGCTACTACTGTACTCTCGGTTCTCCAGACATCATGTTTCTTGTAAGACACCAACTTGCTGATCTGGTCACACGGTTAGAAATATGGTGAAGGGGCGGCAGTCAAGCAACGCTCGATACAACACCGCTCGGCGTTCCATTTCTGCCCCATCTCCACATTGCCTGGCGCGAATTTTCGCTCCGTATCGGAACGTGTACAGAATTCGGCAGTTGTACCACTTCGCGAAACGATGACGTGTAGCAATTTCGAGCCCTGCACTGCATGGAACTCCTTCAAGAGTTGTGTGGTCCGGGGAAGCTTGGAAATGTTCGAGTTGAAGAGTTCCAGACAAGCTGCGTCCAAAACGGTGTGGTTTTTCGAGATCACGGCGGGATTTTACCCTCCTTGTCCGAACCCGGCTTGTCGCGATTACCACGACAAGGACGTTACTAAATACTGAAGTACAGAATATTGTAGTATTTCTGCGCTTTTCCAAGCTTGTTGAAGAGAACGATACCTTAGTCCCACAAGACACACCGTTCGACAATGTCTCCACATGCGACCATTTTCGTCGGTCCTTTGAATTTCACTTTTCCTTTTTCCCTCAGCTCGACACACGTCCGCGGACTGGACAGACCCGAACGTGGCGTCGCAGTTCCCGAATCTACAGGAGGCCACCGCGAACGAGGTCATCCTAAGAGCCGGGGAGGCCCTTTTCGTGCCGGAGCACTGGATCCACTCCATCGTCAACATCGGAGTCAGCGCGCAGTGCAACAGGTTTGTGGTATAGGGATGCGAGTCGCGGCGTAGCAGCGGGTCTGAGACCACGGGAGGGAGGCGATGATTTCGTAGGTGCTGGCTGTTCGCGAGGCCATGATATACGAGCAGGCAGAGATTCCAGTTTGTAGTTAGGCGTGCACGTACGGTTCGGATGTTAAAACCGCGCCAGCGAGCGTTGAAGTAAGTCCGCAGCAGCTCACAGGAAGTTACACCCTTGTTTCGTGTCCACCTATTTACCCGTTGTCGCCCTCGTTCTCTGGCCCATGCCGGGACGACGACCGAACAGCCGATCTGGAAAGTCCAACCTGTACCGGCCGATCATTAAAGAATGCGAAGGTAACGCGCACGCCGAGTGATCTGATCTACAGTATCCTCCATTATGATTATTTTTTGTCTTTCCCACCGCCGGGTTTGTGGCGTCGATAGCAGTACAGCGGAGGAAGTAGCCCATTGGCCTTCTTGCCCTCCCCAAGCGGCATTTTCGCAATCATTGTATCTGGGCGGTTCGGTGCTTGGTATCATTTTTGTTGACTGTTTGCGCTTCTCAAAAGGATGTGAAGGGGTGTGAGTCTCGTCTCATTTCTTGAGTTCGTTGTGCCATCTGCACGAACGATCGTGTCCTGTAGACCCGGTTGGCTCAAGGACTACCGAAACAACGAAACTTGAGCAACGTACCGCCGAGCAGGCTGTTTCCCTGTGTTAGAGAAGGTGTGATAATAGTAGGACCTGTGCAGGACATAGAACTGGGTGACAGGAAGACCGCCGTTCCGGCGTGGTTATTGCTTTAGAATATAGAATAGCAGTAGTAAACAAGTTGCCTTGTGGCGGGAGGGCATTCCAATACGGCTTGTCCCAAAGCGGCGCTGTGTAGATGTATTCAGTGGGTCAATGTGCTCTGCACACCGCCATGCAGAAAGGGTCAAAGTATTTTCGAGGTGTACTTGTACGTTCCCATTCAAGCTGATGGTTGACTGTTTCCTCGCGCTCCTTCATAAGCTGGGATGGGGCATGCAAGGTCTTTGCCGGGCCGGGCTCGCCCAGCACCAAGCGCAAGCCCCGTGCATGAGGCGTTCGGCACGTTGCATTCAGGGTGCGCTGTGCCCTCGGTGGCATTGCCTACTTCGTTGCACTTGGATAACAACATAGGTTTGATGCCTTGGCTTCTTTTCTGGAGCCTTCATTTCCAGAGTCAGCGAGGAGCCCTGGATTAGATGTCTTGTGAGTGCTTGACCTTTTTCACAGTCGCTGATGCAACACGCGAACGATGTCCTCTGAGGAATTGTGACTGGCTGCAGTCACTCAGCATTTTTCCTGGGTGCAGTGTTGCTCCTGCCCTTGCCAGCACAGCGATCATTGGAGAAAGTCTGCTGAGACCACATGACCAGCTCGACAACGCGGTTTTGACCAGGGCGATTGTGTCGCAGTCCTACTCAGCTTGAAAAATGTGCGACTTGTGCAATTTTGCCGCCGTCCCAGCGACAGACCAAAAAGCATAGTCTAGCCAGCTCAAAAGGTGTGCGACTGGAATAAGACTCTTCGTACACAAGAATGTTTCTTTTTTTCCTCCCATCATTGGACTCTGTCGTCTGCCCCTCTGGCCCCTATCCTCCACTTCTACTAGCTAGACGACCCAACCGGGGTCACATAGGAGGGGGGGGCTGGACCCCCTCCTGCGGTTCCTGCCCGAGGTATTTTTATCGCGAGAAGGGTACAGCAATCCCTTCCCTCGGCGGGTTCCGAGCTAAAGACGAATCACCTTTCCCACCTCGGAGAAGAAAAAAAAAAAAAATTGACTTCGCAGATCGTTCTCAAACGCCCAAAAACGACGTTTAAAAAAAGTTCCCAAAAAAAAAAAGTTCCCCTTCAGCCCGAACTTTTTTTTTCGCCGCATTGCCGAACTTTTTCGCCACGGGAATCGTCGCCAATCGATTCCGCTTGGTCGAATTAGGGGGGGTAGAGCCACTCAGAAAGTTGGTCAGACAAAAAGTGGTGGTGGGAAGCGGGCTTGAAAATGCTGCGCGGCCAGGGCCCAGCGGTGACTGCCGCTGGCGAATGTACACGCATCATGTATGCTGGCCAAACAAGATACGAGGTTATCCACAAGTGGTCCCCACACGAACGAGGAATCAAGCTTCGCACCACCTTGTTGGACAGCAAGAGGAAGGGCAGAAAAGCCGCGGAGAACACAGGCTACTGCGAGGCTAGCGAAGTGGTTTTGTCCAACTTGGCCCGCGAAAAGGCTGACGCCATCATGGCGGGCAAGCGAAACGCAGCTCGGAAGAACGGCATACCACAAGGCGGCGGAAGCGGGGGTTGCGGGGCAGACAGGGTTATGTCCTGCCCCGTCATCGCCGCCATCCAGGGTTCGCATGAGGGATTGAGGACACGTTCTTCTGCCACCACCAACCCGGCTGCTAATAACCCAGAGGTAAGCTGCGCGTCCGGTTGGGCAAGTACGATGTGTGGTACTGCTGTAGCACGGGTGCTGCTGCCTGCTGCCTGCTGCCTGCTGCTGCCTGCTGCCTGCTGCTGCCTGCTGTAGGTGTATCGCCGTACGTAGCATACATCCCAATTCAGTCACCATAGTATCAACTACAACCCGTTGAAAAGCCAAC